AAGTAAGACATGTTCGGGTGCTGTTGCTACAAACTCGGTCGTAGCAAGTTCTCATTTTAGAATACGAAATATGCGTTTTAATCCATTTTACATTTACGTCTTAAAACTCTAACAATGTGAAACAATCTAGTGCTACACACAGCATACATAGTATGTACAATTGTTACTATATACAGAAATATAACATGGCGAAGTTATTAAACGTGCGCCTTGCTTGCACCATTTGCGCTTCGCTGGCTACGCACAGTAGCAACGTTCAAAATGCGTATTTTCTGTGATAGATCTGGCAGACAAGTGGTAACTAATTATTCTTACTGTCAAAATTAGTGAAGCGTAATCATTCTTGCACCTTCTTTCATGATTGTTAATGTTATATGACAAAAGATCTTATTCCGATTGTGATATAAATCCATATCTAGTAGGTAGGTACTTATGTATTTCAATTCGAAATACTAAATGCCTTTTAACTACCTAACACATCACAAAACAAATGATCCCATATTGTTACAGTGCTTTCCGTTCAGTTATATGGTATTTGCAATTGATGAATTTTATATACAGGGTTATTTTTCAAAGAGTAGCCAAATTTTAAACTTGAGTTCAAATGTATAAATAAAAATATAATGTTATTGCAGTTTTTAAAAATACGAGTAAATGAGGCTTCTATTTTTATTTGAAATTATCCCAAATTGAATGCGATTTATGGGCAACGTTTTTAAGTACCGAACGATCCTTACGAATGTGTGCATGCGCTGTAAAATCAGTTAAAATAATGCATCATCACGCACTTTGAATTTAAAAGATAAAAAGGACAGAATGTTCGAGATTTTTGAAAATTAATTTTTCTTCACCATTTGCCTACATTTCTTATTCTGAACCTTCTCTGAGAATTTGGCCGGTTATTGCAAAATAACCCTGTATATTGATGGAAAAGATTCAATAAATTGTGAAATAGTCTTAGTCTATATTTAAAATGTTAAACAATGTCATATAATAAATAAAACTTAATAATAACGGCAATTAAAGGTGAATGATTCACAAACATAAGGCGGATAAACAATCCCATGTTAAGCCTTCAATACATACAACAAATTGTGCGTATCTATTACAAACTACAAATGTGACATGCCTTAGGTAAGGTAACCTGTAGAGTTGATGACTCGGCAAATATGTTGATATGTTATTACATTGTTAAGTGACACGATGCAAGAATTGTGTGAAGTCCTGCAAGTACATAATTTATTTTATGTAATGTATGTATGGAAAATAGCATTTGCAGTGACTAATGTCATTTAACTGTACACCATGTCACAAAATATTTACTTTACACTGTTTATTTATAATATAATCATAAATATTATATTCATTTGTACATTACACACGGGATTTTCTTTTAGAATATTTACAAATAAAAACAACACTCCAATCCCTTCACCTCTATTCACAGTTGTCACTAAATTTAATAATAATGAAATTAATGAGGGCTGTAAAAATTACTGAATATCAAAGATGTTATTTAGAAAATTTCAAGCATGAATTTTCTCCAGTATTATTGTTATCATTCTAAACATTTTAGTTATATTAAATAGCAGAAGTGTGGCCAAGTGCCTTCTATGAGATATGTTCTTAATCATCCATTTACAATATTTGTATGTGAATTACCAATATAAAATATGATGTCATTTTAGAGAATATGTACTTTGAGCACACAAAAATTATTAGGCCGTTTTCTAAACAATAGCATATCAATAATTATTTGAGAAATATAAGAACTACACTTAACTTATTTAAACAACCAATTAGAAGATACTAGGAATTTAATAATTAAGAAATTTTAATTATTGAACCTCATTCTCGCAATGAAATTAAAATTGCTTCACTGTACAAGTATAAACATTCTTTATTTTGCCTCACCGACATAATCACAACACCGGCAATGAATATTCTCTTAACTTACAAACTTTATAGAACTCTAACAAGCCATTTGGTATTTAAATACTGCCCTGGACAATTCTGAATAGCATCTAACTCAATAAACATTATAAACACACACCATAAAATAAAGTACAACAGTTGGCTTCCAAGAATAAAATTGGAAATGTTTACTTTGAATTCTACTTTTTCTTTTCATTTTGTTACATATTATTTGTGATGATACATACAAAATATTTGATGACCGAATTTTCATATTTTGAATAAAAGAATTTAGAGAAATAAATATAACACAAAGAAACTTAAATAATTGTACTGTTATTTTGGTGTTTTTACATTCATTATGTATTAAGCATAAATAGAAATCTTTACATAAATAAACATTATATATATATTCATGTTTTTTTATGTGTATATAAAATAAAACGAATGCTACTTTACAGTCAAATATTTCCAGAAGAATGTGAACTGTAAACTTTGACCTAAATCTTCCCATAAGATTAAATTTCTTTATAATAATAATTAACAATGAATTAGTCAACCAACACTGAAATTACAGAACAGTTCCCCCGAAATCAGCAGCAGTTAGCAGTCGGATATTGAATCAATCAAAAATTAGTTTCTTTCATAAACAATACACCGATATCAGTTACCTTGATCTCTACACAGGTTGTTCATGAAAATTATGTGTAACACTGACAGTTAAAAACAATTTAAGTAATTTAAATAATTAAAATTATACTTTCCAGACAATTTTTCTTAATTATTTTCACAAAGTACAAGTATTGTAATTTAAGTATTGAAAATTATATGACAAGCAAGTTTTTTTTTTTATAAGATAAGGGTAACAAACGTGCACACAGTCTACCTGATGGTAAGTGGTTGCTGTGGCCTATAGACATCTACATCTATCCTCAACTACGAATTAAAATGCAGATGCGTTGTCATCCAAGAGGACTAAGATGGAATGCCTCCTTTTTAGTAAATAGGATGGGTCTCCAGTTCTCTACACTCACCATACGAAACCCAGCAGTATTGAGATGCTATTTTACGCTGGTATTCTGTGAGAGCGTGGTCCTTCCCCGGTCGAGCCGACCCATTCGTGCTACAACCATACTAATGCTATATAGCTATATTAGCTGCAGCATGACTACCACATATAATTAGAGTGCTTACATATTATAATGTTATACAAACTTTGTGACAATGATGGATTATTATACTTACAACAATCACTTAGCTTCAGCAAGAATAAACATTTGTTGCAGAACAATAGCAATATTTAGTGTCCCCATTAAACTAGCAAATTTGGAGCTGATTTGACTTCTTTTTTTTTATTTTATTTTTTACAACAATTCTGCCAATGTTTCTTGATGAAGTTATAGCTAAGAGATTGTTTGGCTGACGAACTTTGGGCAGTCAGCAACCAACCCCTGACCTTCGATAAGTTTGGGGTTTCTTTAATCTGTAAAGTGCCTAATAGGTTGAATTCCGACATAATGTCTGAATCGCCTTAGGCTAGCTTTCACCTTGACTGTCTAATATTGTATATTTACTATAAGGTCATCCTAGAAAACTGCATATTGGTTTGATATGTACTATTTGTTTACCATGCAACGTAAAATATTAAAAATTGTCTTACGAAATAAATGAATAATTTACAAAGTTTTAGAACAGAGTGTAGCTAATAAATAATTCAATAAATAAATACCTACTTTGAAAACTAACAGATCTTTCAGAAATAAAAACTTGTTTAATTGTTTAGGGAAGAAGACATTAAAAACTTAAACAACTGTTGTTATGTTGCATGTTATTGTCCAATTAACTAGTTTTTTAAGAAAAAAAAAATGTTTACTTTGTATTCTAACATACTTACTTTATATAACATTATAATCAAATTAACTAATATAACCGTAAATTAAACTTTTATGAATTTACTTTCTATTTCGACTATTTTATTAAATATAACACAAATATTTTTACAGTTGTAGTACTTAAAAAACATGTAGCATTTAATTAGATACAAATAAAAAATTTTGTTGTCAAAACAACATTATCTAAATTCAACATAAATAAAAATGTACACAATCATTATATTCACGTCAGTATTACTCTGAAATGTCCTCTAATGAGTGAAGAGTAAAAACTAAAAATACATCACATACATATCTACAATATGTATGTACATGTACCTTTTCCTACTATCTTAATTACTCAATGATGAAACAATATTTTTCCTCATTTTAAATTTGTAACAACATAACTTGTACGTTTGTTTTTAGTTTATTATGCATACTGAAGAGAAGATAAATAAAATACTTACAGAACTAACAACTGCTAGCACATAATAATATACAATGTAAATCATAGTTATGCCATAAATAATGATGGAAATTTACTTCTTGAAAAAAGAAAACATATCCCGCATACTGAATGAAAAAATCATATATTATTTTTTACATAAACAAGGAATTTTCTAAATGCAATATTTATGGATATATTCAAAAACTTTAAGAATGTCACCTTACTACTTCATCATTAAATATATACTTACAGCAAAAGGGAGAGGACATTTCACAAAGTGATAAATGGTAGCTCCATTTTCAGGATCAGGTTACAAACTAAAAATTGTACCTGATGAAGTTAACAACATTGTTAAATTACCATTTTCAACTTACAATTACACAATTGTAAGGCGAAAATGGTAATTTGAGTCCACTTTACGAGTGTTTTAATGCTGAAAACAGTATAACCTTAATTTGAGTCCACTGTGAATATTATACTGTAACAATATTTTAAGGAAATTGCAAATTACTGAACTATTTAGATCACAATTAGATGTTGGAAGTCATTTAAGGCTTTTCAAACTAACAACTTTAAAAGTCATATTCGTTGTTCTAGCGTAACACATAAAGTAGTGACAACTTTAGAGAGTTGATTAGTAAGTGGCTTTATAACAAGCTGTAGTCTTGACCCCTTTAGAAGTCTGGGGCGATAGTAAATGCTGTGACGTCTCTGCAATCAGGACATAGCAATATAGTGCAGGCTATTTACCTCTTAGAATTTTCTCAAAGTTTCCTAGGGCGCGTTAGACGGCGTTTCTTGCGATCAGGCGTTACAGAAGCTGAAGCAGCATCGGCAGAGGCACGGCGGCGAGTCGGTGGAGTGTGAGTTGAACTCTCCTCTCCGCTGCTAGCTTCCGATTTGTGCTCATTGCGAGACGGAATCTCTGTGGCAGGTTCCGGTTCCGCTACTGTTGCTGTAGTTGGTACTCCAGCTGGGAATGTGGCAGCTTCTTTACTTCCACCAGCGGTTTCTACCTCATTTGTCTCCACATTGCTGTTAGCAGCCCACTGTTAATAGAAATTCAAATAGCATGAGTTGATGCTAGTGAATTGTGAAATGCCGTTCCGTGAATCAGGAATTGGAGTTTCCCGGTATACACAAAATAGGTATTTTAATTTTTTTTGTACTTTAAAGGGGTTATAGCAATCGTGAATAAAATATGACGAGTACATTAAGTATATTAGATATCTAACACTAACTTTGGTTGAGTATTTTGTTGTGCAAGTTAGGTTAAATGTAATCACTACACAACTACAAAATATTAATCATGAAGATGAAGATAATGATATATTTATGTCCCTTACTCTTACAGAGACATAACTTTTTGCCCATCCAAATGATGGACGCCCTTGCTCGGATATCTAGCGAAGTAAGACTATTTTAAAAATAATACAATATAATGATGATGATGATAAACATGGGTATACTGAACATTTTATCCTGAATTTTGCCGATATAGAGACCTTTGAAGGGGGAGGGGCGTGTTCCTCTGTGACTCTGTGTTAGTATAGTAGGAATGCCTAGATACACAAAATTTGTAACTTTATTTCCTAATTGTAAATATTGAATTTTCTTTTTATTACTATATTCATCACAAAACATGTCATTTGTGTATGCAGCTACTTGAAAATCTTTTTTGAGGTCATTATCATTACGATCCTTTACAGTATATTGGTTTTAATGGAGTTTTTCATTATGGATTATGTCATGCTGAGGAACTGTAATCATAGCCCTTTCGCTTTTGAGCGCACTGTAAAGGGCAACATCTTGGTTCCATAAAACATCATGCATGGATACTATATTTGTTTTAATATACAGGGTTGTGTTTCAAAGAGTGTCCAAATTTTATATTTAACTTCAAATTTATAAATTGGAATACCGTAATTGCAGTTTTTGAAAATACAAGTAAATAAGACTTCTATGTACTTTTATTTAAAACTAGTTGTTACCCGCGACTTTGCCCGCGTGTTATTTTGTGTCTTAACTTTTTTTTGCGGAACTACAATTCTTTTTCTAAAATAAAAGTAGCCTAAGTTACTCCTTATGTTTCGGAGATTAGCCGGAACAAACAGACAGACAGACAAAAATTAACCGTAATTTTATAAGTACCGTATACAAAAATCTAAATTACAGCTTTTTACTAAATGTACTTTCATAAGCATTTAGTAAAAGGCTGTAATTTTGACATTACAAACAGACACTTCAATTTTATTTATTTATATAGATTATCCCAAATTGAATGTAATTTATGGGCAACAATACACGTACGAGCCTGCGAGCCTCTGTGTGCGATTCAATTCACAACGTTTTTGCCGACCGAGTAACACTTACGAATGTGTGCGTGCGTAGTAAAATAGTAGGCGTTAGATATTTGTGAATGAGAATCAGTTAAAATAATGCATTACTAATTGCATTCTAAATTTAAAAGGTTAAAAAAAATTAAAAGATTAAAAGAACAGAATGTTTGAGATTTTTTTTAATTAATTTTTCTTCACCGTTCGCTTAGAACCGTGCTGTCGAATAGGTGTCCTAATTGACATTTGCGCGACAATCGTGTCGTGTCGTCGGGCAGCAGGGTGAAGGGCAGGGACCAGTGGCGTAGCTACTCAGGGGCCAGGCGGGGCAGTGCCTCGGGGCCCCCAAGCAAAAGGGGCCCCTCGGCCTCCAAGAACAACATTCGAAAAATTATGTATTATTCGAGTTGTATAAAGAATTTTGTAGGGCTAGAACTAGGCTAGAATCCGCTAATGGACGCTAGACTTTGAGTGACTCCGAGTGACGCCGCTGGAGTGATACCACATAGGGTGGCGGTGCTGGAGTCAGGGTTGCTGCTGATTAAAAAGGGCTAATTCAGGTTAAACATATATACACTTCTCACACACTACTTACATGCACCTACTTAACGCCTGAACGAGCCTTGTGACCAGTCTCCGCTTCTAAACCAGGTAAGTCGCATTAAGTACCTACTCTATATATATTAAATATCCATAGGCATTTGAGCCCGTCGAATCGTTGTCCGTCGAATCTAACAACTGTATGGGCCCCTGTATGTTCGACCTTAGTCTGGGCAACTAGATGCGTGTACATTGTTAGTAGCAGAGCGTGGTTGATTGGGTCTCCAATCGCTCGGCCGTAATCTAGATAAAAATAGTACGTAATAAAAATTACATATAAATATTTTTTGTTGTTGGCGGGTAGAAGGAGGAACTTCGCCCGTAGTTTGTTAGGGCTAGGTACGCGTCAGGTATTTTGACTAGGTAGATAAGGTTATCACGTAATCGGATAATTATCGTTGGCGTATAATTATAGTAGATTAATTGTCGAAGGGTCGGTTGTTTGAGCGAGGCATTTTGCTGATTGACTGTAGTGTGTGCCTTTAATTGTAGTGTAATTTGTATTTAATTTAATAAATAGTAATTGTATTTGTGTAATTGTATTTAACTTGATTTGATCGTACTTGTATTTGTATTTGAGCCGCGTATTAATTTGTATATAGTAGTGATGCCATCGCACAAGCTACCGATTCGTTGCCTGAGGGCGGAGCTGCGCTGGGCCGCTAGCGCCCATTCTTTGATAGGTAGACCGGATAGGGTCTATAGCTTGAGGAAGCGGCTCGAGCAGGTCGATGCTCGAAGGGCCGCAGTGGAGGAGGCTTACGCTGAGCTCGAGGATTCGGATGTGTAAAAGGGAGTCCTAAACTCCTGCCTCGCGGACTATGAGCAGTTCTTTTCGCTCACGGACGAGTTGATCGAGGCTGGGGCCAGGTATGCTGAGGAGGCGCGTGAAGCTCGGGTGAGTGGCCTGCCCGAGTCCCCTCGGAAGCAGCCTACTCAGCCGGAGCTGTTGGGATGACTCCCAACTCTGGACCTGCCAAGGTTCTCCGAGGTTCTCTCCGACTGGATGACTTTTGTAGGGCTTTTTGATAGCCTAGTGGACGCCCGGAGGGACCTGACACCAATCCAGAAGATGGCGTACCTCCTAGCCTCACTAGAGAGGGAGGCCCTGGGCGTCGTCGGCCATTTGAGATTGTCGGACGACGCCTACCAGACTGCTCGGCACCTCCTCGCCGGAAGATACGCCAACGTCCGGCGAATTGCGGACGAATACATCGGGCAGCTTCTAAGCCTCCCACTGCTTAGGGACTGGGCCAGGCTATGTCCGGACCTCTTGAATCCAGTCTTGGTGGCCTGTAATGCGTTGAGGCGGCTGGATTTGCCGGTGGATGAATGGTCCTTCTTGTTGCTCCACATCGTGCTGTCCCGCCTGCCTCTCGACCTTAGGATACATTTTGAGGAGAGGTATGGCGGGGACGGCGCCTCCTATATTCCGCCCTTTAGTGATCTGCTGCGGTTCTTGGAGGAGCAGTGCCGGCAGATTGAGAACGCGGCGGGCACCGTTGACGACTTACAAGCCGTGCCCAGTGAGAGGCGGGATCCGCCAGGCAAGTCGTCGTCAACCCCCCTAAAGCCGATCGGAGCCTCCGTGGGAGGGCGCCGCTCCCTACCATCTTACAGTGGCCTAGTAGCCAGGGAGGCGCCCCCCTGTTCCTATTGCCGAGCGGAAGATCACCGGGTGACGTCGTGCCCGAAGTTATTAGGTAAGCCGGTTCCGGCTAGGCGAACTATCGCTAAGGAGCGCCGCTGGTGCTACTCTTGTTTGGAAGGGCACCTCCAGCGAGACTGCCTGCACCTGCGGCCCTGTCCGCATTGCCAGGGCAAGCACCATGCCGTTTTGTGCCTGGTGCGAACGGCGCTTCCTCTCCGGGCTCTGCCGCGCCCTCGACTCCCACGAGCGGGGGCGCTCAGCCGCGCCCCCTGTCGGGCGACGCTCAGCGCTCGCCTGCCAGCCACAGAGCTCCTAGGTTTGAAAGGGGTCCCTCCCCCGACTAGTCGGAGGGTCGTCTCCCCAGGGGCGGGGGTGTCGTCGCCCCCCCTCAGCGTGTGGAGAGGAACTTCACGGCCACTCAGCAGTCAGCTAGACCCTTCTCACCCCCGTTACCTGAGTGGCCGCGGCTGGGGTACCGCCGTCCCCCCTTTGATGGAGGCAGCCAGTGAGCCGCCTTTGAGCCGTCAACAGTCCACTTCATTCCAACTTTAACGCTGTCCATTACCATCTAGAGACGGCGAAGCCGGCCTTGCTCTTTTTAACCGAGACTCAGGTGTCCTCTCCGACTGATACTTCATATCCCTTACCCGGGGTACAAATTTGAACACTCCTTTGTACCCCGGGCTGGAGTTTGCGTATACGTCAGAGAGGACATCTGTTTTCGACGCCTCGGCAGTCTTTAAGGTATGGACCTGTCCATCCTATGGCTGCGCGTAGACAGCGACGACCATCCCCGCGTCTACGGGTGCCTCTATAGGTCCTATAGCGGTGATGCCGACACAGACCGACTCATCGACCACGTCCAAATGGCTGCAGACTCCGTGCTACAACAGCTCCCATCCGCAGAGATCGTGATACTCGGTGATTTTAACGCCCACCACGTGTAATGGCTTGGTTCTCGTTTAACCGGTCATGCGGGTAGATCTGTCTATGACTTTGCCTTGGCATATGGTCTAACACAACTGGTTACTACGCCTACGCGGATCCCAGATGTGGAGGATCATGTACCGTCCCTGTTGGACCTTCTGCTGACCTCTCATCCGGACGAATATCAGGTCTCCGTCGATGCCCCTCTGGGCTCTTCGGACCATTGTCTGATCCGGAGTACGGTGCCACTCACGCTCCCATCGCAGTTGCGATCTGCACTTGCCACCGTGTTTGGCACTATATGTCGGCCGATTGGGACGGGATGCGGTCTTTTTTTGCATCCTACCCTTGGGTTTGCTTCTCGCCGGAAGATCCCAGCGTTGTTGCCGATTGTGTTGCTGATGTGGTATTTCAGGGTATTGAACTTTTTATTCCATCCTCTGTGGTGCCCATCGGAGGCAGATCCCAGCCATGGTTTGGTCGCTCCTGTAAAATAGCATCACGCTATAAGCAGGAGTGCTACCAGGTCTGGGCTGACGCATCAACGTCCCGGGATGTAAACACCAGCGCTCTTAAAAAGAAGTATAATTCCGCCTCCAGGTCGTTCAAAAGTGTCACAGCCAAAGTCAGAGCACATCAGCAGAATTGGCGAGAAACTAGTTCGCCTCCCTTCGGGAACACGTGCATTCTGGTCTCTCGCCAAGGCTGTCCAAGGGAACTTCTGTCAGCCATCTTTGCCATCTCTGCATAGGGTGGACGACTCACTGGCCCATGACGCAAAGGAAAAAGCCGATCTGCTAGGCTCTCTTTTTGCTTCCAACTCGACTCTAGATGACGGGGAGAACACACCGCCGACCATCCCGCGGTGTGAATGCTCCATGCGGGAAGTGCTGTTTACACAGCGCTTGGTGCGTAAAGCACTCCTCTCCCTGGACGTCAACAAGTCGAGTGGGCCTGATGGAGTCCCACCTATTGTGCTGAAGACATGTGCTCCGGAGTTGGCACCGGTATTAACGCGTCTTTTTCGGTAGTCCTACTCCCTAGGCGTAGTCCCGAACTCATGGAAGACAGCTTTGGTGCACCCGATCCCTAAAAAAGGTGACCGCTCAGCTCCGTCCAACTACAGGCCTATCGCTATCACCTCCTTGTTCTCCAAAGTAATGGAAACGATTATTAACAGCCAGCTCATGCGGTACCTTGAGGATCACCAGCTGATTAGTGACCGCCAGTACGGTTTCCGTCGAGGTCGCTCAGCTGGAGATCTTCTGGTCTACCTGACTCATAGATAGGCGGAGGCAGTGGAGTCCAAGGGGGAGGCGTTGGCCGCTAGTTTGGACATAGCGAAGGCTTTCGATTGGATTTGGCACAAAGCGCTTCTTTCGAAGCTGCCTTCCTATGGGCTTCCCGAGAAATTGTGCAATTGTATCACCAGTTTCTTGCAGATCCGAGCATCAAGGTCGTAGTAGACGGTACATGCTCCGATTACAAGCCAATTAACGCTGGTGTTCCACAAGGCTGCGTGCTATCACCAACACTGTTTCTTCTGTATATCAATGATATGTTGCAAACCAGTAACATTCATTGCTATGCAGACGACAGCACTGGTGATGCTTTATACACCAGCCGTACCAATATTTCTCGGGAAAACGTCGCCGAGTACCGGAACAAACTTGTGTCTGAAGTCGAGACTTTGTTGAACAAAGTCTCAGACTGCGGGCGACTAAATCTAGTCCAGTTCAATCCCCAGAAGACACAAGTTTGCGCGTTTACCGCTAAAAAGAATCCCTTTGTCGTATCTCCTCAGTTTCAAGGCACTCCCCTTGTTGTCTCAGCCAGTATCGGTATCCTCGGTGTCGACATATCGAGTGACGTGCAGTTTCGTGATCACTTGGAAGAGAAGGCCAAATTGGCCTCTAAAAAGCTTGGCGTGCTCAGCAGAGCGGGACAGTATTTCATGCCGGCACACCGCCTGCAACTTTACAAGGCGCAGGTTCAGCCTCACATGGAATACTGTTCCCATCTCTGGGCAGGGGCTCCCCAGTGCCAGCTCCTTCCACTTGACCACATCCAGCGCAGAGCGATTCGAATCGTCGACGACCGAGTTCTTTCCGATCGGCTTGACTCACAAGATCTCTTCGTCTCGTCTTTCGTCTTCGTCGGTCGTCGACGATTCGAGCCTCTGAGCTGGATGCGGTCAAGTGGAAGGAGCTGGTACTAGGTAGCCCCGACCCAGGGATGAGAACAGTATTCCATGTTAGGCTGAATCGGCCCCTTGTAAAGTTGCAAGTAGTGTGCCAGCATAAAATACTGTCCCGCTCTGCTGAGTCCAAGTGACCACGAAACTGTACGTTATTCGATATGTCAACGCCGAAGATTCCGATACTGGCGTAGTAAACGCGCAAACTTGTGTCTTTTGGGCATTGAACTTAATTATATTTAGTCGCCCCCATCCAAAACCTTATCCAGCAAAGACTCGACTTCATACACAAGTTTGTTCCGGTACTCGGCGACGTTTTCCCGAGAAATATAGGCACAGCCGTTGCATAAAGCATCACCAGTGCATGTTACTGGTTTGCAACATATTATTGATAAGCTGAAGAAACAGCGTAGGTGATAGCTTGTAGCCTTGTTGTTGCTTGTTTGTTGCATCAGCATAAATAGGCTTGTAAATGGAGCATACACCTTCTACTACGACTTTGTTGCTCCAATCTGTAAGAAAACTGCTGATCAATATAGGTCCCTGGCAGGGACCCGACCTATAATGATTTCGAAGTTCACTACGTATCGGTCTTATTTTTAACAAAGCACATTGCGACCCATTTCGCTTTTTTCATTGCTGTCAAGACCAGCAGAATAGCTCATCCATATATTTCCAGAAAGTAAAAACTGAACGCTTCTGACGTCCATGCTTGGCGCCAATGCCATGCGCAAATTACATCATTGCATCGTCAGTTTGCACGATGATCGCGTATTCGCGTTTTATTAGGACATCCAGTTTTTAATATCACGCAAGCAAGCGAAGGTCGCATCGCTTACTCGCGCGATGATCGCGTAATCGCGTTGTATTAGGACGACGCCTTATTCTGGAACATTTCTGCAAATTTGGGCGTATATTGCAAAATAATCCTGTATTAGGGACTGCTCAACGAGCTATGTACATAGTTACTTATAAAACAATACTCGGCGATAACTATGAGCGTAGTGTTCCCAACAACTAATGGCATATAAAATTAAAACTTATTTAATTTTTTAAAGTAAAAATAAAAATTTCGTTTGTCAAATGTTAACATATTTTTTCTAACGAACTATCTTCTCAAAAAGAGGTTCCTCTGTTTAAAGAAACGGCAAAAGAACAACACACAAGTGTCCTCTTTGAAATTTTTTTTCAAAGGCTAATGATGGCGCAACGATATTTATCAAAAATAAAAAGGAATAGACCTATTGGTAATCAAAGCACGTTCTTTACTAAAATTACTCAACAATTTAAAAAATATGCATAATTAAATGTAATTAATGTGTAACCAATGAGGACTAATAATCTTCAGCTCATTAGATGTCGCTAGTTGACATTGGGGTGAAGTTTTTTTTGTTACACGTGTATCATTTAGTTTACACTGTTTCTTTTAATTGAGAACTTAGTTTTAAATAAAAGTTTAATACACAAAACAATACCTCAGTGGTTTGCTTTTAAATTTTTTGCACGCACATTTTTAACTTTTTTTATTTTTTCTACTTTTATGAATATCTGTGGTTTGGTTAATTTATGTTTAATCTGATTAATATAAAATACGACGTATAGTACAAAAAGAAACATTAACCTTCCCGGCTATGAAGTCTGTCAAATATTACACATAACATTATAATTGTGTAGTGATTACACCTCATATTTAAATGGCGCCGCCTTGGTGGCAAAAGTCGTGGATGTCCTCATTGCAAGCACACCAGTCTCCACAAGCAGGGAGGACGCCGCATAGTGAACTGTTCTCGTAGTCATATGGCAAGGCAGAGCATCGGGCAGATAGTTGGTGGGCAGCTGTGTGTCGTGTGCGCGGCGCGTACCTGTGCGAGCGCGGCGACGGGCGACAGGCGCAGCGCGGCGCCGCACTCGGCGCACAGCGGCGGCACGGCCGGCGACCGCGACCGCCAGTACTGCAGCTCCGTCTTGCATTTATTCAACTCCTGACAAAAAAAAACAACACATTTATTAATTTTTTCCTCTCGAGAACATATCACTTCCACATTAAGATTTCTCGTGTGTAAAATCTTGGGATTAAAGAACTTCTAACCACAGGGAAGTCGGAGGGAAACAAACCAGGAGAAGGCTCAAAATAAAAACTGCAGTTTTCAACCTGCCTGCCAAACATGGCAACTATGGCAAATACCCATACTGTGAGGCAATCTATGGGGTAGGCAGGCTTATGTTTAACAGTAGACTTTTGGAAGGCTGTAATGGTAAGAAAACTTCTAGATACATCTTGGTAGTTTGTGGAGATGTTTATACTAGGCAGGTTGATGTTGGAAAGAGCGGTTAGATTTCATATTTAATAATGCGTGTAATTTAGTATAACTACAGGCTGTAGGCATTCCATCTTAGTCCTCAAAGGTGGCATCTGTAACCTTCTTTATTTGAAGTAGATTGCAGGTGTCCATAGGCTGCACTACCCACTTCACATCACATACACTGTTAGTTCATTTGTAATATCAATTTTATAAAAAAAAAATCAGAACCCCACACAACTTTGCTACCAAGCTGTCAACATTGATCATAAATACTACCTAGTCATTTTTTACTTTTACTTAATTTAAAATGTTGATTTACATTTTATTATTAGACGGCTCCGTGGCGCAGTGATTTGAAGCACTAGGGCCGCGGGTTCGAATCTCGCACGGAAGAAATATTTGTATGGCCTACAAATAATTGTTCCGGGTCTGGATGTTTGTCCTTAAGCAATTTATAGCAATGTATAGGTACAGGAGAAAATCCTAGTGGGGGTAGCATTAAAAAAAGAAGATATATTACTACTAGTTACTATTACTATTCTATTTATATTTTATTACTGCATTAGTAGTAAGAAAAAATCCATAATATGTAAAGATAAATTTAAAAAAAATATTTCGAGGTCATACATCATCACTCATTGGGGCAACTCAGCATAGTGATTCTCTACTCCAGAACGGTTGAACCGTTCAAATACCCGTATTATAAAAAACATTGTTTGGATAACTTTGAATAAGTACATACATAATGTTGCTCAATTATGATTAAAATTTTCGCCTTTTACAGCTAAAATATGCCCCGCAAAACTCAAAAAGCGAACCCCGGGGTTAGGAGATATGGACTAAGGAGTAATTATATCTCTGAAACATTCGAAGAAGCCCTCAGTAAAATTCGTTCAGGTGCCATGTCTAGACTCACTGCTTCAAAGTTTTACAAAATACCCGCGGTAACCCTTTTTTACAAATTGAAAAGTAAACATATTAAACCAGTTGGTAAACCTGTTACTTTTAGTAAAGACGAAGAAACTAGCTTCAAGGCTCATTTGTTGCTGCTAAGCGATCTCGGCATACCTATTAGTATGATGGACTTCAGATTTGTAGTAAAAAACTACTTAGATAGCAACAATATAACAAAGCCACATTTTAAAAACAACCTTCCAGGTTACGAATGGGGTGTATTGTTCTTAGAAAGAAACCCAGAATTAAAAGCAAAAATAGCTCATAACATATCCCGAAAGATGGCTTAAGTCACAAGAGAATGGTCGAGGAATTCTTTGAACATATTAAAACGGAAATAGAAGGAGTCCTACCAGAAAATATATATAACATGGATGAGTCGGGTTTTCATGACGACCCTGGAAAGAAAAAGTTGCTTTTCAATAGGGACTCTCGACATTTCGAAGTTATAAAAAAACCAGTAAATCGTGTTACACTGTGGTCTTTTGTACAAATGCTGGTGGCGAAGTTTTGCCTCCTTTTTTATATTTAAAGGAAAGAGACTGTGGTCAGATTGGCTTTTTCACGCTCCTTCAGGTTCAAGAATGGCTGTGTCTGAATCTGGATGGATAGATTCTTCAATCTTTGAGAAGTGGTTGGAAAGACATTTTATTCCACACGTTGATAAGCAAGATGGCAAGAAGGTATTGTTGTGCGATAATCTCAGCGCCCACATATCACCAAAAGCATTACGTCTTTGCAATGAACATTTATTTGCTTACTACCAAATTCAACCCACCTGTTGCAACCACTAGATGTGAGTTATTTTTCTGGCTTAAAAACTTCATGGAGGAAAGTTCTCAATGATTATCGACAGGCTAATAAAGGCAAAAAGGTACAAGCACTGCAAAAGCCTCTCTTTGCCCAGCTGCTCAAAAAGTCTCTAAATAATATTGAAGGTACGTCATCTGATAACGTGATAACCGGATTTCAGAGCTGTGGCTTGAAACCAATTTCACCTTCTACCGTTTTGAACAAATTACCAAGGTACACGTCTCAATCGGATGTTTGCGATTCCATTGGCACAAGTTTCATGAACTACATAGAAGAAATAATGCAAGGAGATTTGCATGTGAAGAAAGGAAGAAAATTTCAATTACCTGTTACGGCTGAGAAAAGCGTTTCGGCTGAGGAGGTCGAAAAATATTATGAAGAAAGAGACAATACAAACAAAAGTATAGGACCAAAGGGAGCTGAAAACGGCGCGCAATCCAAGCAAAAAGGACCCCTGGGTTCTAAGAACAAAAAGAAAAAGAAGATTAATAATGATACAGAAGAAGAAAAAAATAAAGATTTTCACAGTGACCAGAAAAATGGAAAAGCAGAGGATACAAGTACTATAAAAATTGTGATAATAACTCTGAAAAAATTGAAAGAGAAGTAATAGTAGTAGAAGCTATAGTGCACCAACCTCCTAAACTTTCCAAGACATCTGCTGGTGACGTAAGCAACGCTTTTGAAAATGAAGTCGTGGCAGAAGATATGATCCAGGAAAAAACCCTGACTTAGAGATAGGTAGTGAAGGGATTTCAATAGATGAAGAAATTATAGAAGAATATATAGTAGATAAGATAAGTGGTGAATTAACGTCTCCCTTGCCTGTACACTTCACGCTAAAGGGCGTGACGACTGAGAAGTGTACAGGCAAGGGAGACGTTAAAGTCCCGAAAATAAAAGAGGGTACATATTGTGTCTTTAGAGAGGAGGGTAGTTTGTTCCCAGGAAGGATACAAAAGGTTAGACCCTTACAAGTCTCTGTGCTCCAAAAAAAACTTTTTAGGTGGTTGGTCTTGGCCCTCTAAAGCTGACATATGTTAAATCGATGAGGCCAATATAATAAGTGTTTTAAAAGAGCAACAGTTATCCAAAAAAGGCGGCCAACTTTTTATTGAAGATGAAATTTTGTTAATGCAATGGGGTGAATGATTTTGTTTAAAAAAAAATTGTTAAAGAGAATGTTACTTAGAATTACAATTTTGATCTCATTCAATAACCAAATAAATGTATAATTTGTTATGTTACACACAAGTTTCTTACTTTATTTTTTTATATATAGGATCGGGTGACAAACGAGCACACAGTCCACCTGATGGTAAGTGGTTACTTTGACCCATAGACATCTACATCTATCCTCAAATAAAAGACTCAAGATGCAGATGCGTTGTCACCCGTGAGGACTAAGATGGAATGCCTCTTTGCCAGTAATAAGGGTCTCCGGTTCTCTACACTCACCATACGAAACACAGCAGCGTTAAGCTGCTATTTTACGCTGGTATTCTGTGAGAGCGTGGTCCTTCCCCGGTCGAGCCGACCCATTCGTGCTACAACCATAATATAGCTGCAGCATGGTACCCAAAACTCGTGATAACGTTTGAATTTGACTTTTAGAGGAATTTCTAGGTAGTTCTGTTGTTTTTTTAATATCACAGATTGTAATATCACAAATACTTTAAAAAATGTTCAAAGTTACAGTTAAAGATTTATATTTTATTAAAATAAAATAAAAATGTAACAATATATTAAATTGTAGACAAGTACATTTTCTCACCTGTAATAGAGTTTGAAATTTACGACTTGTCTCCTCATTTTTCTTGTCATAATCGTCAAGACGATTTGCATATTCTAGCGTTTGTTTTTGTTGTTCTGCGATCTGTTTCTGTTGTTCCGCTATCTGTTTCTGTTGCAGGGCGGTCTTGCGTTTGCAGCTACGTAAATCACTACGCAATGCGGAAAGTTGATCATTGTACCTGAAAAAGGAGATATCATCATCATCATTCCCCAAGAAAAAGGAGATTATTTCCTTCTAATTAGTTGTGGTGAAGTTTCGTCACTTTGCTAGAGTTTACATTTAGATCAAATTAATGAAGTAATGAATGTTAATAGCTTCAAGCTCAACAATTTTCGCAATTTTGGTAAAGTGTAATACTTATCTAGAATTTTGTATCTAAATTCAATAATTTTTAAATTTAAATATACAAATCACTAAAATCGCCGCTTACTCATTTGGTCATATTTACCTTTACAAATAAGATGGAGAAGTACTGAAAAGGCGTAATTACATAATCATAGGCGTTCTAATATTCACTTAAATAGAAAAAATACAAAACAATAAGGAACTAATGACAGTAAAAATCCTTACTATAATGCCTACTTATTTTGATATCTGGATGTGTTTTCCTTATCATGTTAATCAGAATGAGGTAAACTATTACATCGCAACAGTGAATTCAAATGATGAATAAATGAAAATGTCTACGAAATTTCATTTTTTCAATTGCATTTCATTCTATTTTTTAAGTGTTGTCTAAATACTATGTGAGAGCCGTGGTAGCTCAGATGGTTAGCACTCGCTGTAAATTTCACAGTACGCGAGCAACCTGGGTTCAATCCCCGCCAGCACCAATGAAACTGTTAATTGCAATTTTAAGTGCTGATTTACCATGTGCTCGGCGGGGAAGTATTATTAGTAGTTACGGATTCTATTATAATATATTCTAACACAAAACTCCTTAAATCATAAAAACGCAATTACTTTTTCATGCCCTGTTTGATGCGATGTATCCGTTTTCTTAAGACCATGTTGCTTTGTGGCGGCGGCGGGGAGGGAGGTAGACTCTCCTCCATATACATGTTCATGGGAGAGACATGGTGTTCTCCGGTTGAACTACCCCCAGCCTGTTGCGACCCGGACTCGAACCCGCTTGGCGGAGGGGAATCCAGACAGATGTAAGATTTACTGCTCTCACCAGCTGGAAAATATGATACAAAGTTTGTTAAAATTTACATTTACATATTTTTGTCCCAATAAATAAGAAATTACTGCTTTACTTAGGAAAACATCGTGAGGATACCTGCATGTCTGAGAAATAAAAAATATTTCGAAGACGAAGTTCATCAATAATTAGGGCAGCGCAGTAGACACTTCCTTGCATTAAAACTCAGAAATGAAGGCAGGCATATGTCTAGCGTCCTGCCCTGTGACGTAAGGTCGGGGAAAAAGTTTCTTCGTATTTTATATACAAATTCAAGAATTTTTTTTCGAAGTGTATGCAACAAGTTATCGAACAAAATGTAGTTAACATTTTGTTCGATAACTTGTTGCCATCTTGTAGGTAATGACATAATCCCGTTGCTGTAGAAATGTAGGAATTTTTGATTAAAAAAATGCGACAAGTAGTATTGACAGTCCTCCCTTGATGTTAACCTAACTCTACCTAAAATCTGAGGGTGCAAAGTCAGGATTATATGGTGGATGCATTAACACTTCCCAACCAAGCTTTCTCAATTTTTGGTGAGACCAAAGAAATGTGTGGTCTGCAAATTAATTCCGGCCGTTTTTTCTTAATTTCTTGCTTGAGTCTAAATAGTTGTTGGCAGTAGATCTGAATTGATTGTTTTGCATGGCGTTAAAATACCATAATAAAAGATGCCCTTGCAATCCCACCATACACAAAGCATCACCTTATTGAGGTATACCTGAGGAGAGGCGTCGTAATCTCCCGAACGCTGCCCAGCCGACTTGAACTCTCAGTCAAAGTTGGACTTACCTAGTCGGACTATTTGTGCCAGGTAAGCATACTCATTAACAACTTCGAGCTTAGTGCTCCCGACAACCGGTATAGGTGTGACATGGAAGTTACACATAATCTTTGTTCTGTATTTTAAAGTCACTGAGGATAGTGGTTAGGTGTTCCAGCGATTCTGCCATAAGGGCTATATCGTCGGCAAATCGAAGGTGAGTGAAGTACTCGCCATAGATGTTAATATCGTATCCTTTCCAGTCCAGTAGCTTGAAAATGTCTTCCAATGCAGCAGAGAAGTTTCGGAGATATTAAAGTTAGATAGATAGTAAGAAAGAGTTTCAGGGGGTAATATAGCCGCAGCTTCGCACGATTGTTTTCTGGATCTAGACAACAGCTCCACATTTGATACATGCGGCAATTGAATTTTATTTATATAGATTTACCACTTGCTCAGTAGAAAATAAAACCATCGACTATATTGAACAAAGCTTTATTTGCTTACATGAAAATATTTCGAAATCATGAAGTTAAGGCAGAACCTTGTTAATACCGTGTAGCGGCGGCGTAAAACAATCCACTAACTCCTACTAAATAAATTATTACTTCGAAGCTATAAGACCCCATACGAACCCGCGAGTATCGTAAAAGGTGACAGATGGAAGGAAGCAGGAGATAGGCAGAAGATAGGCTGTAGTGTCTTCCTGATAACAACTCACTTGCTAAGAGAGAAAACTATGGCAAATATTCCCCCTACGTTCAGTAGTGGAGTTTTAATATGATGTAATTAATAAATGAATAATGAATAATATCTTGAAAAAGCAGAGAGGAACACGGCTAAAGTCCATAATCGATTTATTGGTAGTTGTGAGCTAGCGACGAAAGAGAAGGCAGACCGCTGTCGTGCCGCTTTTATTGTACGCTCCGTGAATCAAACCCCACTGGGTTGGTTGGTATTCGATTAAACAAACACAATTATTATTTATTCCCTGTGAAACCCATTATAAGTAGCAAGAATAATTTGGCGGGAATATACCGGCTGAATTTAAGTAGATTTCACAGTGTCCTTTTCACGATATATTTTACAACGATAGTACGAAATTCCGTTTCAATCACTTTTTATTGTAAGATGTCAAATGAAGCTTTTATAAACTTTCACTAATATAAATAAGTATTACAAACCGAATTAATAAAATCCTTAATTTTAGTGAAAGACTAAATGAACTTATCGACGTTTTTTTTTTCGCTAAATAACACATCAATAGAGGCATCTATGGAATGGAAAAACGGCAACAACCTTGTAAAAGAAAGAAGGTGAAAATAATACAGCTATCTTATTTTATACCATGTTAAACGTCATAGAGTCCAGCTATAAGAATTTTGTTATTATTTTAGGATTCTCCCTACACTAGTAATTACTCTGAGTAGGTTATCAATGATTTAAATTACATGGATTAATTAGGCCATATATTATGAAATCCTCGATCACTACCTAGTACTAAATTCACATATTTTAAAGTTGTTGATTAATTCATGTTGACATATAATATCCAAAAGCAACGCCACCAGTGCAGATTTTTCTGATCAGAATATAAATACTCATATCTTAGTCAGGTCATAAGTTCTGTCAAAAACTTTTTATAAAATTAATGATACACTTTTTGATTATATAGAAATTATATATGAAATTAAAGGTAATTTAATTTAGAATACAATTTTATTTACATTATTCAAAATGCCCTCCCCTATTTTGAATACGGCCAATCATCAATCGCAGAACGCACCACATTCATATCTATTTTTGCCAAGCTGCTTTAGCAGACTTTCCCCTCCAAATGTTGCCATATCTTGTAATCCAGTGGATTTAAAGCTAGACTAGAAGAGGGCCAGTCTTCATGTCCAATAAAGTCAATTCCACGAGCGGTCAACCAGTTTTGCGTACTTCGTGCCCTATGAGCTGGTGCAGAGTCCTGTTGGAATATCGAATGTCTGTTTTTGAACATTGTTTGAGAAAGAGGTTCCACTATGTTTGTTAGGACGGTATTTTAGAACACCTCGGCACTGGTTTTTAGACCTTTTTCACAGAAAAACACCTCAGTTAAGCCTGAATATGAGACTCCAAGCCAAACTATGAGTGACGAAGGATAAAATTTTTGGTTGAACCCTCGGAATACGCGTGCTGGCTTCTTCACTGCTGTGGGCATACACCTTATTATTTTGTTTGTTATAACTTTCTACGAATAATGTTTTGACGGAACTTATGACCCGACTAAGTATTAGTATCACAACAACGACGACGTATCGTTAGGGTTAGCTTGGGAATTTCACATAGCTAAAATAAACAAACTTCTCAATCGAAATTCATATACAACGCGGTACTTACTATATACGGCATATTGTGTTAGTGAGCGTAATGATGCGTTGTACTTGTGCGAGCCTTATGGGTCTCCACGATTGCTCGATGTTTTTTATGTGTGTTCATTGAAGCAAGAACGTGTGGTCTGGGTAAAAGGCTTTGTAACGCGCCATCGAGCAAAACGCACATAGCTCAATATATAAATCTACATAATTTATGCTCGATACTCCAAAGGAACAAACATATCGCGCATTGTAGGCGCTGGCGTCGAGCAAGTCCGTAGACTCCGGTGTAATAAAGACAACGAACAAAAGAATGATGTAATGAGACATGAGATGTGTGACTTTCGTACATATTTTCATGATTTTAACTTGAAACTTGAAGTAAAAGTTTATTGCTTACTCCTTTCATTCATTCATTCATTACAGGCTGTGTCCATAGCAAGTCGTCCAAGTCTATTTTCAAACGACTTCAAAAAAGGAGGAGGTTCCCAATTCGTTGGAATCTTTTTTTTTATGTATGTTCACCGATTACTCAAAGCGGGGGTCTTTGGAATCGGGTCTATAAAATTATTTTTTTGTTTTAAAGGGTATACTTCCCAGGTGGTCCCGTTTACCATTTAAATTTTATCGAAATTGGTCGAGGTGGTTTTAAAAATTCAACAATAAATTATATTCACATTGAAGTCGTTTATACAAAATTTTAAATTTACCACTAGTGTGCTTTCGTTTTATTCTTGTGCTTAGTCCTTAAAATGTAGTTTTTTTTTTTGTGTGTTAATGAACACAGAATAGTTAAAAATTTTGATGACAAGATTTTCAATAAAACCTTGAACATTTGAATAGATTTACCATTTTTCTTCATTTACCGTAGACATAAAAACTCATTCTGTAAGCCTTACAAGACTGACAATTTTAAAGTTAAACACATCGAATGTTGGATCACAAATTTCCGCGACGAGATTAAAATGTGGTAATATATCATGATCTTTATCATTTCTTGGTATACTAGCATCACACCGCCAAAGAAAAAAGGCGAGACACAATGTTTTTTACGTTTTAGCAAAATAGAGATTCAGAGTAATAGAGTAGGTAACTGCAATGATCGTCAGTTAGATCTAGTGTTGAGTACATTGGCAAAGAAAGGGAGTGTGAGTGTGCGCGTGGCGGAGGTGCCGCTCGTGCCTGTGGACGCGTACCACCCACCGCTCGAGATCTCGGTAAGTACAAATACGCATCTGCGCCGGCACTCCGACTCAGCAGACTCAGCTGCACCAGAAATTAACACATTCGCACCACTAGGTTGGAACTTTAATAAAGCCGACTTTTTGTCATTATATTCCTTAATTGCGGCAGCAGATTGGACTCCTATATATGAGTTAGACTTGGAAAGGAGCTTAAAATATTTTTATAAAATTATCAATTCTGCTATGGATGACTGTGTTCCGAAAAAAAAGCGAAGTCGTGTAAGCTCAAGGTACATTTACCCAGAGTGGTACACTGTTGAAATAATTCGCAACATAAAATTGAAGGCTTTACTGCATAAACGGTACAAGGCCAGTAGATCGAGAACTGATTATGACGCGTTTGCTCGGTGTAGGGCTAATGTGAAGAATATGATAGGACTCGCACAGGAACAATATCAACAACGTGTTCAAAATCAAATGTTGAAAGATCCAAAATCTTTTTGGAATTTTGTTAAATCCAAAAGACGTAAGAGGAGCCCACAATTGATTTTGAGAGACGGGGAAGCGTTGTCTGGTCAGCAGTGTGTGGACGAATTCGCAGAGTATTTTTATTCTATTTATAGTACAGAGCGGCCGGAGTTGGATGTGACTTCTGCTATAGTAGGAGCAGGTAGTGGAAACGGAGCG